GCTCGTACCACCACATGCACCGTTTGGTTCCGTCCATGGATAGTAGTATAAATGATACAAAGTTAAAACTATACGAATATGAAAATTTTGAAAAGGAACTATGAAAAAAAACACGAGAGAGTTTTTATTGTAGTGTTGATATGTTGAGATTTTTGAGTTGTTGAATTGACGAAGACGTAGAATAATAAACCTGTTATAAAAACCTTGGATTGAATAATCAACATTGTGGATGCTTATTAAAAATATATTGAAGTTATTAAGTTAGCAATTGTGTAATGTGAACCACAATGGTGGTGCCTAATTGGTTTAAGCTTGGATTACAAAGGTCAAAAGTGTCTGGAGGTCCCAGGTTCGAATTCAATGAATAATAAAAATCATCTTATGGCCACATATATTCAAATGTGGTGACTCTAAGTTACTTATAAAGTAGGTGATCGTTCTATAATTAGTCGGCTCGTATAGCACATTGGATATCCAAAGTGTAATGTGAAAATTTTGTGTAACACCTTAGAGATTGTGGATGCTCATAATATTTATGAGATTTTTTTTTTATAATTTGTTTAATTTAAACCTTTGTTATGAATAAAATATAATTTGTTTAATTTAAATTTTTATTATAATTAAAATATTTTTAAATTGAAAAAGGACGTTGTACCTGAAAATTCAATTTTATTATTTTTATAAAACATTAAAGAGATAAAAGGTTCACATGACCGACAATATCGTTACTGAAATGATTGATTAGATTCTTACGTACTCATAAAATGTCATCGTTCTCGTTTTCGGTTCATCTCTCCATCAACACACATGTTTTTAAGGTTGTTTGTTTATCTTTTAATAGTTTCATTAAGAAGCATGTTTTGAATCTTTAAGTAATGAATTTTGTTTGGCAAACAAAAAATCTGCCTCTTAATGGTTCTAAAATCTTTTGATTCAGCGCCCTAATTTTGTTGTAAACAATTATCAAAAAATTATATTTCATTTTGCACTATATCATGAGATCTTCTTGATCATTCTGACAACTTAATCATTTTACACAAAACCATTCAGCAACTGCCAAACAACCTCTTAATCTAGATCATTTAAAAACAATTTTTTTGTCAGGATATTCAAATTTTTTTGTACGAGTTGATTTTTTTATATGACGACCAAAAAGAACACGAACATCCTCACTTTTAGTGTTTTTCACAAACTTTAACGTAATTTAAATAACTTTCACATGTTTAAATAACTTTCACATAGTAATACATCTAGGTATGTGAAGGTGTAAATACAGATAGATGAATGCAAATGGATCCAGGTATATAAAAAGTTCGTGTTCTAACCAATAAATATTCTGTTATAAATATGTATTTATACATAACTTACGACACCAGTTTAAAATATGTGTTGGAATAAAAAATTGGAGAACCTATTGGAGTTGAATGTAATTGTTTTTAAACATTTTAATTTTTGATTCTCTATTTAAGAAAAGAAAATTGCTCAAAATAGTCATTTCAGCCTTTTGCACTTACTTTTTAGCACTCTCGAATCTTCAAAAATGTCACAACCTCCGCAAGTAGCAACCTCTAATCCTATTACAATCATTTTTGTATTTTTGTTTTCATTTATTATTTTTGTTACTTGAATATTTGTATTATAATTGAATTAATATAATTTATTAATCAATTCTTTTTTCCCCTTTTTCTATTTTATTACTTTTTTAATCATTATTTATATAAATAAATGTTTTTTTTATTTTTTTTATTTTATGTCATTATTGAATACAACATAAAAACCAAACTAAATAATGATGATAATATGTATGTGTATAGAGTGAGGACATCCCTAACCTATAGACAATCATTTTTTTTGTTGTGTTACGATATACAAAATAATAATCAAAACATCAATATAAATAAATAAGTATTTATAAAAAAAAATATTTAGCGAAAACAATAAAATAATAATGATCATCATTAAATAATCAAGTATTCATAATTCTTTTAAATTGTATCATTTTAATAATACTAAAATAACCTAATAAATTTGAAACATTGCTTATTGTAAAAATAATTACATTTTTGAAGTCACTGCATTTTTAGCATGGTTTCGAATATAATATTACAAATACTGAAACCAATTTAAACTTAATCGAAACTTGTATTTATATTATGTTAAAAAAAATCACTTTCAAATTGACATTTTTAAAAATATTTAAATAACTAAAATTAAATTCTAATACTTATATATAATATGATAGCATAAATAAAAACTATATGTAACATACTTATATATATAACCAACTAAATATATAGTAGTTATATAATATAACTTAAATAGTGATAATTTACAATATATATATTATATATCTTCATACTATCTATACTATAATATAAATCATTTGATAAAAACTCTTAAAAACCATTTTTATGCACGGAATACTGTTTATTGATGCATATTACTTAAAATTCAAGATTACAAAGTATAAATTATCAATATGTTTACTTTATCAGAAAGCAGACATAAAATTTACAACAAGCCTCATCTCTCTAACAAAGTTAATCAAAGGAAGATTTGATGGTATCAAGGTGATTAATACGTTTTTCCCTTTTTAATTCATCAAATCAAAGATTTGTTGCAACTCATACCAAGATATTGTGCTAATAATTGATACAACCATGTATTCCACGTTGAGGGTGCATCTTCTTATTATGCCACTGGTTAAATTTTAAATCTTATGTTATTTTACACTGCATCATTGAATCCAGTGCTTGTTCGGTTCTCGTGTATATGTGTGTGTATGTATAAGGTCGAGGTTGAGGGAAAACCGCAAAAAAAAAAATGAAAAACTGAGGAACACTCTAGTAACCGTTCATCTGTACGATATACACATGTTCATACACGTAATTTATAAGTAATTTTTCAGTATGCACTATGCACAAAAACCAGGAAACATCTTCAATTACCTGTATGTACATGTGCAAACTGTCCAAATGAATAGTTACTAGGGTGTTTCTCAGTTTTTCATTTTTTTGGGGGGTTTCCCCTGAACCTCCGTGTGTGTATATATATATATATATATATATATATGTTCTAAGTTAATCCAAAGCAGTGGCGTGGTTTTACTCTTGGGAAGTTTATGTCTCTTACTCCCAGATCTATCATTGTTGTATGCTACAATTTGATTTGGGTAACTGGCACAACTAAAACCACATTAATCCCGACCATGTCTAATTAGCTTACGTTTATTCATGGTAAACGTCGATGGCGTTTTACGAAGCATGCACCATTGTTGATTTTGGATTGGGAAAAAAGATCTTGGGTTTTTTGTCACACGAGCTTTAACTTATGCACAGGGTTGTAACTTGTAAATGGATGGTCGTTGGGTCAAAGGACTGGTTTTAAAAAGAAGTACAAATCATAAGGGTTTTTATGCAATGAGTGAAATTTTAGGAATAAATCCATAATAATAGAAAACCTAATCCCAAATATATGAGTTACTCTATAAATTAATTAAGGACTGATTTAAAGTCGAGTAAGTTATGTTTTTTCCTCCTAAAGTGAGTAAGTTACGCTTTTAGTCCCTGTGGTTTTTAAAATGACGACTTTTGTCATAATTTACATTTTCTGCTATTTTTGTCTCTAAGGGGCTGTTTGACAATTGCTGAATGGTTTGATGCAGAGTGATTAAGTGGTTAGAATGATTAAGAAGCTCTTATGATATAATGCAAAACAAAATATAATTGTTTGGTAATTGTGTACAATGAAATTAGGGCTCTTAATGGTTAAGGGAGATCCATGATACAAAATCATTCAGATGGTTTTAGAACCATTAAGAGGCATACTATTTTTTTTTGTCAAACAAGATTCATCTCTTAACGATTCAGAGATTGCTTCTTAATGAAACTATTAAGAGGTAAACAAACAACCCCTAAGACTAACTCCTATATGTAAAGCATGGGAGATGAAAACAACAAAGAAGTATAAACCACATAACGAAAACAACAAAGAAGGACAAACCATGGAACAGAAATAACAAAGAGATGCAACAAATTGTAAATTATAGAGATAAAATGGCAATTTCAAGAGTATATAAAGAGAAATAGTAATTTGAGTAAATTACATTTTCTTCCCATGTTTGTTAAAAAATACGATTTTCATCCTTGTGGTTAAAAAACTGCGGTTTTCATTATCATGGTTTGCAATTTATTGTTGTTTTCGTTCTTATGATTTACAATTTATTGGTGTTCGGTCTTTATGGTTTACAATTCTTTATTGTTTTAATCCTGTGTACTTAAAATTAATAAACAGTTTAGGGACAAAAATAACAATAAATCATAAATTATAGAAAAAAAAGCGCAATTTCTAAACCAATGGAACGAAAAATATATTACAAAATATAGGGACAAAAAATCACAATTTCTAGATCACAGGAACAAAAATAACGATAAATTATAAATTATATGGACAAAAATCGATTTCTAAACCACATAAACAGAAATAACAATAAATTACAAATTATAGAAATAATAATCGCAATTTTTAAACCAATAATCTAATTCTTTTAACAGACCACAAGGACTAAAATCATAATTTACTCTAGTAATTGTTAATAGACCACAGGGACTGAAAGTGTAATTTAGCTTACAAGGTAAAATTCTTAACCATCAAAATAGATTTATGGTAAACGTTTATAACTTAGTAATCATTTATCGAGTAAGAGTCATCATTCTCATTTACCATATAAAACTCTTCATCTTTATTTTACTTCTTATCGAATAAGATTCTCAATCTTTATTATGTTCTACTAAACTTCGGTCTTTAAAAGTTTCAAAAGTGCTTTCATTTTAAACGCGTATTTTAGTGGAGTAGATTGGTGCACTTTAGCTTCCATCCCATCCAAAGTATGTATCCGTCTTGTGGCTTGAACTGATCGCAAAAATATCCAAACCTCCCTGTTTCTCCCTCCATTTTTTCCGTCTGCAATTCACTGTGTGTGCGTCTTTTTCTTAAATCTTATGTCTTCTTCTCTTCCCCTGACCTTCAATTCCCTTATTTCATGGCAGAAATCATCAAGAATTCCTTCAGAATTCAATAACAATGCCATTGGATTCCCAAATTTCAACAAACCCACGTCTCTTTCCCTCTCGAAATCTCACATTTGCTTCACATTTAACAACAATAGCTCGGAATACGAACGGGAAGAGACCAGGTGGCTCCGGGAGGAGCAGCGGTGGATGCGGGAGGAGCAACGGTGGATACGGGAGGAACAGCGGTGGGAGGCTGAGAGAGAGTCTCTTCTGAATGAAATCAAAACCCTAAAACTTCAAATCGAAGAGCTGAGACGTGAAGGGGGTAATACTTCTGTTTCAAATGTTGCGAAGTTGTTGCATGTGTTGAAGAAAGAGGTGAACCAGATTTCGGATAGTGGGTCTAGTGCAGCGCCGTTGGTGGTGGAGGCTGCTGCTGCTGCTGCCGCCGTTGAGGATGCTGAAGAGGTGGTGGTGAAAGAGGTGATTAAGGTTGCAGAGGAGACAAAGGGGAGAAATAAGGATAAAGAGGTGAAGAAGAAGAGGGCAATGTTGAGGGTAGGATCAGAAGGTGATCAGGTTAAAATACTGCAGGTCTGCTTAATTGCTTTTAGATTCTATCATTCGTGATTACAATAAATTTATAGGACGCTTTTGAGCGGTTTAACATGTTTTTAGGATAATTTTAAAACGACTACTTTAATTAATTTTTCTTTTGAAATAAAACGTCTTATTATTAGGACATTAAGACATTGCAGAAACAGTCTATAACAAAATGAAAACACGGCTGTCCTGGCTTTTGTGAATCATTTAGCGGGATTCGAACCATAACTTCAATGGCAGGAGTCGTTTAGTTTGCATATTGTCGAGTTTAATGTGTCGGTTAATCCGTTCATTGTGCCCATTGATAGGAGGCATTGCAGAAACTGGGATTTTATTGCGGCGAGGAAGATGAAGAGTTTTCTAGCTTCTCAAGTGGCACAGAAAGGGCTGTAAAAACATGGCAGGTGACCCTTACTTCCATTAGGCGTTGTATGAGTTAAATTGTCTTTCTAGATAAATTTATCATCTGAGGGGCGGGACACGGGAGACTGATGGGTATGACGGAGGCAAAAAGAGAGGGTTATATTATTTCTGGGGCAATTCTGGTATTAATTTGTTTGAGCTGGCTTAACAAGGACAAGTAAGGGGTCATATAGCCATTTTGGCTTATGGGTTAAACAATTAGGGTGCGTTTGGAACGCAGACAGGACAGGACAGGACGGGACAGAACAGGACAGGACAGGACAGCTGTTCAGCGTTTGGTAAGACCTGATAGGACTGGACAGAACTGGTTAAAATGACCAATTTACCCCTACTGAGTCAATCCTAGAATTCTAACCACCATGATCAAAACCCAATTTTACAATGACAAATTTCAAACCCTAAATCGATTTTACAGTGACAAATTTACA